AACTGTACTTCAGTAAAAAAAAAGAGGATGTGGAAAAAAATTAAGGATTACAATTGAGTTTCTTTACATTGTACTTTCTAAAGAAAGTAAATCTTTGGGGTTTGAAAAATTAAATGCTAAACGTATTTCTTATATGCATATTTCTATATTATATACATGTTTGCATAAGTGCCAAGTTGCATCAGTTGTGTCCAACTCTTTGCGACCCTATGGACTTAGTCCTCCAGGCTCCTCTGTCCATAGGATTCTCCAGGCAAGAATACTGGAGTGGGTTGTCATTTCCTCCTCCAGGGGTCTTTCTGACCCAGGGATCAAACCTGCAACTTTAGCATTGGCACACGGAATCTTTACTACTGCGCCACCTGAGAAGCCCCATATTCTCTAGTAGGTTTATATTGAAATAATATATTTTCTCTTTTAAAAACTCTTCTATTTTTTTTCAATTTTTAAATGCATTCTCTCCTTTACTAGAAATAAAATGGTATTTTTAGATTTGCATAGCCTTACATTTAGCATCATTCTGTTTCATTAAACAAATGTCAGCACTGGTTTCCTATGCCCCAAGTTTATTTTCTTCACCTGAATTTTGAACATGTTCACCCAAACAAAAATATGTGCTTATCTTTGTCCTTTTGTATTTATAATTGATTTCTCTATCCCTAGACCTGCCCAGTGCCTGGCACATGTTAGATACTGAAGTGTCTAATTGACTGGGTAAAGCGGCATCCATAGTATTAATATAAGTAAATATAGAAGACTCTGTCTGACAAGTTACACTTGCTATCTTGAGTGCCACTCCTATTCTCCATCGTCTCTATAGTCCTCACTAATATGTCTACGCCTTTACTGGTTGGCTTCTGTCTGTCTCTCCCCATAGAAACATTCTGTGTGCACCCTCCAAGAAGATGGGGATTTTATTGTCCTGACAGCTGTGCTCTTTACCTGTGTCATATAACAAATGTATTACAAATTGTTTATCAAAGAATACTGGTTCGCAATAACTCTAAAGTAGATTGTTAAAGGCAATGCAAAGAAGACGAGTCCTCCTTTAATTTTCTTCTTCCAGGATTTTAATATGGAATTAAGCTTTTTGAGCATTTCCTATAAGAAAATTATGGATTCCCTTCATCTCTTCTTGTCAGGGATGCCATTTCCAAATGTAAAAGTGCATCATTTGGCTTCTACCAGACCTTTAGGAAATTGACTGCCTTTTGCACAATAACCTGTTGTCTAGCCCAGTTTTCTTGCTTCTACTCTTGTGATTGGAATCTTCTGTTCCTAAAGAACAATATCTACAATGTTAAAGAGCATCTCTGATACCTTAGTCCTTATTTGCATAATGAGATAATTTTATTTCTTGGGTTGCCATCCTAAAGGCATTTTTTTCTAAGTCTTCAGAAACCTATGACTATTTTTAAATTACTGTTGCTATACATGATAAAGTTTAAGGCTGTGGCCTTCAGAGATGATTCAGTTAATCCATTCTAACATCTCTTTTCAGCAGCACAGCTTTTTATGCTTGCGTGTTTGCTCTCCTCACCATTTTTTGCAACTGTTTCTACTGAGTCATGTTTCAACACTTGCAGAAACTCATGACAACTTGTCATCTAGCAAAACCTCTACTTTGTGCATTGTGTTATTATGGGGGTGGGTCAGTCTGCTCTAAGTGTACAAAATCTTGATGTAATGCAAACCTTAGGTGGAGAAGAAAACACAAAAGATATTTTCATTAGTTTGTTTTTCTAAGAAATTTAATGGTATAAGAGTAATATCAGAGCATTTAAAAATCATAAACGTGCAGCCAAGTGGAAGAACAACTGTTATGAACATTGTAGAGTGTTTTATCTGAGAATATGCTTGTGTTTTCCATTGCCAAAAAGAAATTGACATTGTGTTCTGCTAATAACTTGGGGAAAATACATTTTCAAGTATATGATGCATGAAGTCATTTGACCTGGAATGGGTGGTTAAATTTGTTTTGGTTGTGTAAACATAACTGAATACTTTTTTTTCTCCAAATGGAGTTGTTCTCACCAAAATTGTTTATCTCTAACATTCTCTATATGTATTATCTCATTTATTCCATGTGATAATCTTTTTAAATATTGTTGTTATCCCTTTTTTACAGATCTTGTCAGCAAAGGTTAGAAATGTGTAGATGGGTTATTTTGATGAATGTGATAGTTCATATGCTTAACCTCTGTTTACAACACTCATTACACAATCCTATTCCACGTGCTCTGTATGCCGCTTTGCAGCTCATGCAAGAGCGGTTTAGAAGCAGAAGTCCTCCCAGCACCTAAGGTAAAGAATGGAACTTGTTAAAAATATGTCTATTACAGATAAGACCCTTTCAAGAATGGGGATAGCTGTGAGATAGAGGTGAATACAGGTAGAAGAGAGCAGCAGCCCACGAGCTTGGCAACACCTCCCCAGCTTCATCTCCAAGAGCTCAGAGAAGAGCCAGGTAACTGGGTTGTTGGCTTTTGCAGAAAAGCGGGGCTCCTCTGAGAGGCATGGATGGACCTGACCCTACCCAGGTCCAGTAGTAAGAAGACCCCACAAGCACGATAGGAGACCCAAGTTTAGAGAAAGCCATGGTACAGTCTGTTTTTTTCTGTGCCCCTTCAATCATCACTAACCCTGATTCAGTATGTATTTCTGTGAATGTAATGTTACGAATGGAAATGTAATTAGCAAGGTAACTAGTTGTGAGGCCTAGAGGATTGTTCTGAGTCTGGATTATCCCATCTGCAGGATGGGTGGTACTCTCCAGGTGGGACAACTGTTCATGAATCTACTCTGTGGGTCCAAATAGGAAGATGACGTAGATACTTGCACAATGCCTCAGTCTCATCTTTCCTGGGCCACCTGGTGCCCACCTGGCTTGGACTTCATTTTTAACACCCAATGAATGGATGGAATATAGAAGGAAAAGGATCCTAGAAACATTAAATTGACTTATATTTTTAAATGGAAAGAAGGTTCTCATGAAAGAAAGAATATAGAGGCAGAAGGGAAGGGCGAATAGGGATGAGACAGAGGATGGAGGTGGGAGAACACATTTTTAAGAGGCATATTAAACACTTAGGAAATACATTTGGGAGGGAGACTGGCTATGACGTTGGCTGTCTGTAGTGTAACAGACTGCTCCTGTGGCATCACTTACACAGATGACTCTAAAAATTTTAAAAATATTTCTAATGTCAGGTGAGCTTTGCTCTTAAATGCACTAAACCTATAGTGATGGGTATACTAGGTGGCCTGGTTTTATTCTGGATGCATAGCGACTGGATTATTCTAAAGGTGTGTCCACAAAGATTCTATTACATATGCCTATGCCTAGATAATAACATATTAATGGCTGGAAACACTAATGTTTTCCACTGGAAGTCTACTGTTCAACTTAATGTAACCAAAGCATTTGTATGCTTTTGAGATTGGAGCACATGCAGGTGCTTTTGCAACAGTTTTGAAGTCAAGATATGACATATATTAATACTAGTTTCACACAGTAGAGAACATTATTAGTGCAAAGAAAATATAGTTATAAAGATGTGGCTTTCAGCCAGCGAGAGTGATGCAGATAAAAGATATTTTCTGGGTTATTTGAATTGGGAAATTCATGTGATAAATTGCATTTCTTCTTTTAACTCTTTAAAGAAATCAACATGTACTTTATGATACCTGTATTACAGATGGAAACAGTAATATCTCAAGATACAGGCATTTAATTTAGTCACATTAAGCTATGCAAACTTAAAATGAAAGGAAATATGGAAAAAATAATTTAAATAACACCAGCAGTTTTCACACTGTTTGACCCAAAGGGTACTAACCTGAGTGACCTTGAGATGGGAGAAGTGAATCTGCTTGTGACTCTGTAGATCTTATTTCATTTCATGAGGGACAACAGGAAGCATCTTAGGTTGCTGTCCATGAGCATGTCTTTACAGATACAGATTGAGGGCAGGAGGAGAAGGGGGCAACAGAGGATGAGATGGTTGGATAGCATGACTGACTCAATGGACATGAGTTTGAGCAAACTCTGGGAAATAGTGAAGGACAGGGAAGCCTGGTGTGCTACCGTCCATGGGGTCACAGAGTTGGACAAGACTTAATGACTGAAAAACAACAAAAGTGTATTTTGCATATTACAACAGAAGCCAGAACCTGCAAATTGCTAGTGCAATGGCATAACGTTTTGTTTTTCTCCCCTGTTAATTTGCTCTATCATTCTGAGAATCACCACTTAGGTGCTCTTAAGGTTGCTGCCATAGTTTGAAACTCTGTTGGAGATGCCAAGTCCGGTAGAAACAGTTCTGTTCTTCTCATATATTCTGTCAGTGATGATTCCTTTCCCCAGACACTCTCCCAGCCTGTTTATTTTCATTTCTTGGCCAAAATTGTATCACACACCCAAACCTGGCAAGAAAAATGGTACCAAAATGACTCATTAGATCAGCCATAATTCAACCTCAGGTGTGGGAATGGGCCTTATTCACTGATGCCTAGGGCCGGGCCAATCATAGGAAAATATTAGATTCTATTAGACAAGAGGAAAGGGGAGTAATCAGTGGTCAGGTAGGCAGATAGGTTATACAATGTATTTATTCACTAATGTGTTGTAAAACACTGGTTCTAGTTTGCATTTTTAAATTCACAGTACTTTATAAGTGATATACCCAAGAACCCACTCCAGTATTCTTGCCTGGGAAATCCCATGGACAGAGGAGCCAGGCAGACTACAGTCTATGGGGTCGCAAAAGAGTTGGACATGACTAAACAACAAAAATACCCAAGAATATGTATAGTGTACTTCAGGGCAATAAAGAGGCATTTTGTGGGGATAATTGTGACTCAGACTCTTGCCTTAAGGTTGATGTTAATCTCATACATAAGGTGAGATTCGGTTTTAATATCAAAACCTGCTTAAGCTTTCTGCCCGCGGACGCCACCGAGAAAGCATCGTTGAAGACTTCCCCGCCTCCACTGCCGTCATGTCTAAATCAGAGTCTCCCAAAGAGCCTGAACAGCTGCGGAAGCTCTTCATCGGAGGATTGAGCTTTGAAACAACTGATGAGAGTCTGAGGAGCCATTTTGAGCAATGGGGAACGCTCACAGACTGTGTGGTAATGAGGGATCCAAACACCAAGCGCTCCAGAGGCTTCGGGTTTGTCACATACGCCACGGTGGAGGAGGTGGATGCGGCCATGAATGCAAGGCCACAAAAGGTGGACGGAAGAGTTGTGGAACCAAAGAGGGCCGTGTCAAGAGAAGATTCTCAAAGACCTGGGGCCCACTTAACTGTGAAAAAGATTCTTGTTGGTGGCATTAAAGAAGACACTGAAGAACATCACCTGAGAGATTATTTTGAACAGTACGGAAAAATTGAAGTAATTGAAATCAAGACTGACCGAGGCAGTGGCAAAAAGAGAGGCTTTGCTTTTGTAACCTTTGATGACCACGACTCCGTAGACAAGATTGTCATTCAGAAATACCACACTGTGAATGGCCACAACTGTGAGGTGAGAAAAGCCCTGTCTAAGCAAGAGATGGCTAGTGCTTCATCCAGCCAGAGAGGTCGAAGCGGTTCTGGAAACTTCGGTGGCGGTCGTGGAGGTGGTTTTGGTGGGAATGACAACTTTGGTCGTGGAGGAAACTTCAGTGGTCGAGGCGGCTTTGGTGGCAGCCGTGGTGGTGGCGGATATGGTGGCAGTGGGGATGGATATAATGGATTTGGTAATGACGGTGGTTATGGAGGAGGCGGCCCTGGTTACTCTGGAGGAAGCAGAGGCTGTGGAAGTGGTGGACAGGGTTATGGAAACCAGGGCAGTGGCTATGGCGGGAGTGGCAGCTATGACAGCTATAACAACGGTGGAGGCGGAGGCGGCTTTGGCGGTGGTAGTGGAAGCCATTTTGGAGGTGGCGGAAGCTACAATGATTTTGGCAATTACAACAATCAGTCTTCAAATTTTGGACCCATGAAAGGAGGAAACTTCGGAGGCAGAAGTTCTGGCCCCTATGGTGGTGGAGGCCAGTACTTTGCCAAACCACGAAACCAAGGTGGCTGTGGTGGCTCCAGCAGCAGTAGCTATGGCAGGGGCAGAAGGTTTTAATCACTGCCAGGAAACAAAGCTTAGCAGGAGAGGAGAGCCGGAGAAGTGACAGGGAAGCCACAGGTTACAACAGGTTTGTGAACTCAGCCAAGCACAGTGGTGGCAGGGCCTCGCTGCTACAAAGAAGACATGTTTTAGACAATACTCATGTGTATGGGCAAAAAACTCGAGGACTGTACTTGTGACTAATTGTATAACAGGTTATTTTAGTTTCTGTTCTGTGGAAAGTGTAAAGCATTCCAACAAAGGGTTTTAATGTAGATTTTTTTTTTTGCACCCATGCTGTTGATTGCTAAATGTAATAGTCTGATCATGACGCTGAATAAATGTCTTTAAAAAAAAAAAAAATCTGCTTAAGTTTCCCATTTATCCTTCCTGAGTATGTCATAAGTGTTCTCCTTAAAGGTAAATACAGAACCAAGTTTGCTGTTAAAAAAAAAAAAACAGAAAAAAAAAAGTTTTGCCATCAGCTTAGGTGTTTGTCTTTTTGGAAAGAAAACCAGTGTAGAGTCACTCTGTATTGAATAAACCTCATCAAATCTATCCAGACATCTAGCTGTTCATCAACAAGAAGGAAAAAATACTATACCATCTATATGCTTGCCACTATTCTAAGTATTGTGAGTAGAACACAGAATGAGACAGTTAAGGTTCCTGTTCTTATAGAGTGTACATTCAATTGTGGAAATAAAAAACAAGCCAACATGTTAACTAGAAAAAAAGATAAACAGCAGTAAAAAGTAAAATACTGAAAAGTACTCTGAAAACAAACAATTAGGTGGCTATTTTAGGGTGTCAGGGAAGTCCTCTTTGAGGAAGTAACACTTAAGCTGAAATCTGATTGAAAAGAAAATAAAAGTAAGGAGCCTGTGTGTGAAAGTCTGAGGATGTGCTGGCTAAATATTAGGAATAGCTCGTGCCGAGACCTTGCGGTGAGAATGCAGGGAGCAAAAGGAAAGAGAGAGAGGAGGTCAGAGAGGTCCACAGGGACAAGATCATGGGGGATTGTATAATCAAGTGTAAAAGGATAGATATTTATTCCAGGCACATTGAGAAGCCATTGCAAAGGTTCATGTTGAGAAGTGTCAAGACTGCATACTGGACGTTATGGCATAATATCATAGAGAGGCAAAGTACAGTTCGAGGATTAAAAGGTACAGACTATTATATATAAAATAAGCTAAAGGATATATTGTACAACACAGGTAATATAGCCAATATTTTATAATAACTGTAAATGGACTAGAACCTTTAATTGTGAATCACTATAGTGTTCACCTGTAACTTATATGATACTATACATCAACTACACTTGAACTTTTTAATGTTCAGTTGTTGCCCAGGTGATAGCTGACAGATGACAGTGGATAAGACCAAGGTGTGTTGTGTTAGTCACTCAGTCGTGTCCGATTCTTTGCGACCCCACAGGCTTCTCTGTCCTTTGAATTCTCTCGGCAAGAATACCGGAGTGGATTGCCATTCCCTTCTCCAGAGGAGCTTCCCAACCCAGGGATTGAACCCTGGTCTCCTGCCTTGCAGGCAGATTCTTTACCATTTGAGCTACAGGGAAGTCTAAGACCAAGGTAGTAGCGGTGAAATGTGCAAAATATGTATAGGTTTCGGGTGTCATGGGACATAGGGAAATGAGAGAAAGGATAACTCTCTAGATGTTTGGCTTAAGATACAGAGTGGAGAGAGGAATTGTTTTCTACTGAGATGAGTAGGAAGTGGAATCTTTGGGGAAAGATGATGGTCAGAATCCAGCATTCTCTTTTGGGTCTGTTAAGTCAGAGGTGCCTGTTGCATTTCCAGGTAGAGATACCAAGTAAGCAGTTGGGTACAATAGCCTGGAGTTCCAGGAAGAAACTAGGTCTGGAGATAGAGATTTGGAAGTCATCTGCATATAGAAAAGCAAAGAAGTGCCCACACAGTTATTTTAATTAATTCCACAGTGCATTCCAAACTATAATTTGGACGACTAAAAATTGACGGGTACTTATTTATTGAAACACTTGTCTTGAAAATTTGTTGACAACACGATTTCTGAGAAATTAGTTGATTGCTCATGACAAGCAGTGATGGCTCATTTCATCAAACTTTCCCAAAAAAGACAAAGGAAGTTTTATAGTATCAGCTTTCACTTGCTTTGAAAATATTTTTTTGTTCGTCACTGGAGTTAGCAATAAACTTCTCTGCTTTTGCTTCATAAATCAAACAAGGACACAATTGTTAAATAGTCTATATTGTATTAATTAAGCTCTGAAACAAGGCAAGCATTACAGCCATTTATAACAGGGTATTGCCTAAGTTGCTAATCAATGAGAAAAGCAACTAATTAACAAGCCACTAGTCAGCATTTTGAGCAGAAATTGGTGACTTTCAGCTTAATTAAACCTTGCAGGTGTCAGTGATGATATGAAAGAATCTGTAATCTGTTTGTGTCTAAATTCCCCCAGATCATTTTCACATCTGTACATCTTTAAGTCCTCTATCTATTTTAAAGGAGGTAAAGGGATTTATGTCTTAAGTCACTTTGCATTTTTAAAAGCCTCTTTCAAAGCTAAATTGTTGAGGTTCTCTTGGATTAAGACAGCAGAATGAAGTTCCTGAACCACTTCACCCCAAACATAGTGTACTTAGAATTTGACTGAATTCCACTTACAAAAAATAACTTTTAAAAAATCTGCTGAAAAAAATAAGTGAATCTGTAAAGTACCCTTTTTGAAGTGTGATTTACATACCATTAAATGCCCTTTTTTAAGTGTAAATTTTATTTGCTAGTAAATGTACAGGGTGATGCAGTCATCACCAAAATACATTTAGAATAAATGAAATTTTAAACTTTGGACAAGTGTATCCATAGTGTGTTGAGTTTAGCTTGCAGGGAAAGCTGGGACACACCTAATCTTTAGGGCTGACCTATAAAAGGATTAGTATGCCTTTTTTTCTCATCTTAAAGTATTTCCATAAATTGGCTAAAACTAGCATTGGAAACAGGATTGTAGACAGAATGCATCAAGGATTGAGGTTAATTATTCCTTACATAGTATTTAAGTAACACAGATTTTCCTGTGATTACACTTTTTTGGCAAAAATTAAAATTCTTAGTTTTTCATGATGCCCTTATTTCTTTTTAGACATCATTCTCTCATAGTTAATCCCAGTAATGCAAATGTTCTTTCATAATGATAATGTTCTTCTTTCTTCTCAGTTATAATCTCTTTGCTTAGATGATGTCATTTTCAAAGAGCTGCTTAGGAAACCTATGAACATCTATAATAGGAATTTAGATAAGTGTTCATATCAAAAATGTGTCATATAACACATTTACATGAAATTATTTGAAATTTTCCAGATATTGGTGTGGTTTGCCAAATAATAGTAGCAAATAAAAATCATGTTTCCAGCCATCACTTTCTGTGCTTCAGAAACTTTTAAAGCTATAGATAGGTTTTTCTTCATCTAATATTTACAACAGCCTATGGAAGAGGCCCTCATACTGGCCCCATTCCACAAACTAGGAAACTAAGGCACAGAGAAATTAAATTGTTTGCTCATTTCCTACTGGAAATTTCTATTATCACCATTGCTCATATAGTATGGTTTCAATGGTTTGACATCAGTAAGACCTAATAAGGTTTCATCTGATAGTCCCAATCTAATAATATTTATTAGAGTTTGCTCTGGAACAGTTCTTTTAAAATTGGGAGATATTTTCAGACACTTTGGCCACCTAGTGTTGTATAAAGAATAGTAAACTTGAAATCTGTAGATGTGAGTTACAAATGATAATTCCTCTAACATAATTGTGTGAACTTGGGAAATTATTTAGGTTCTTTGAACTTGTTGTCAGTAGTGTAGAGAAGGTGTTCCCTGGCTGTCCTGGTGCCTCTCTTTTAGGTCTTCATGGTAGCAAAATGGTAGCCTCATCACATTGCCTGGAAGTGTCTGTCCAGCTCACGGTCTTTGTGTAATGATAGCGACCTCAATGATAGGGACCACATCTTTTTATCTTTGTATCATCAGTAGTGCTGAGGATATTGTCTATCACCTCAGAAGTGCATATTCAATACATGTAAAGGTAAAGTATAAAGAAAGAAATAATATTGTATTTCCCCCAAAGAGCTGTCATCAAGATCAAATGTGATAATATAAGTGACATGCTGTTCTTGGGCTCTTGCTCCCAGCTGTAGTTGACTAAAAAATACCAACATGGGGCTTCCCCTAGTAGCAATATAGATGGATTCATAGGCACAGACGCAGCATAGGAACCACATGGGGTGCAAATGTTTTTCAAACAAATAGCTTGAGGAATAGAGAGAGAACATTCCACCCCGCACCTAGGGGAAAACACGTGCGGCATCTGTGTCTACCTTAATTTTCTGTTTCTGTTCTCTCTTAACGTCTTTCAGATTGTTTGTCAGACACCAAGTGTGGTCATTGGGTCACAGCTGTAAAGTGACTGACATTGGAAGAACCATTTGGTTTAGTAATGAGAAAGGGCAAGTCCCACTGAATCTAGTTCTAAGGATCACACAGCTCATTTCATGAGTATTTTTATATCCTTACAGAGAAGGCTTTTTATGTGCTGATGAATAATATGAGGGAACAAGCACTTTTTCCTTCAAATGTGTTTTGTATTGACCAGACATGTTAATAACATAACATAGACAGTCTACCAGGGTTGTGACTGCTTACAGCTTTTCTGGCCACAAGACAGGACAGAGCATTTGTTATGCTTTCATTTACTCAGAAGTACTCAGAGCTGATGTCTTTAACCCTTTCAATTTTATAATCTCTTGTTCTCTGGTAGAAAATATGCTCCTGTCTCTATACCTGGTGTTTTTTGTTTTTTCCCTCTAGTATGAATGAGTATCTCCCCAACCCCCTCCCCCCTAGTTTAAGAGCATCGCTTCACTCCATTTGTGCACTCAGGCAGTGGCCTGGTTTTTTATTGTGGTAAAAGTCATATAATATAAAGCATATCATTTTAACCATAA